TTCATAGGGTTTTCACTCGGCACATGACCAAGGAGAGTAAAGAAGAGAAAAAATAGGGAGAACTGTACCAGTCGTAGCTATTCTGTAGTCCAGAATCAGATTTCTTTTCTGCTAGTCTGTTCGATCTGTTCTTTGGGTTGATCAACTTCTCTTGACAGTAGGGTTGATCGATCTGCTCTCTTTTAATCAGCAWTCCCRCTCTGATACCATCTTGACAGTGTAGCCGGCCAGAGATAAGTGGAAGAGGAGAGAAGAGAAGAGAAGAAGAAGATAAGAGAAGAGAGGAGAGAAGAGAAGAGAAGAAGAAGATAAGAGAAGAGAGGAGAGAAGAGAGAAGGTTTGCATTGTAACAGTACTAGCGGCGCCAGTGTTTATTTTACTATATATAGGGCGACATAAATAACAAGGTAAAAGACCCTTGTGCCCCTGAGTACAATAACAGACATAACAGAAATAAAAAAACGAAATAAAAAACACTTTAATTAGCCAAACAGGCCCTAGCATTTGCAACTAAGTTATTTTAACATTATTCCAACAGGGTGCGAGTGGGTACATACAGTCAAACACAAGGCTGATGGTTCTATCAAGAGGTATAAATCCAAATTAGTTGCAAAAGGATTCACCCAAAAGGAAGGGATTGACTATAAGGAGACCTTTGCTCCAGTTGCTAAATTGAATACTATGCGGGTGTTACTCTCTCTGGCATCAAATTTTTTCTTGGGAACTACACCAGTTAGATGTTAAGAATGCTTTCTTAAATGGAGGTCTACAAGAAGTTTACATGGACCCTTCTCCAGGGTATGCCATGAGAGGAAAGGTATGCAAGCTAAGGAGGACCTTATATGGCCTCAAACAATTTCCAAGGGTTTGGTTTGAAAGATTATGCAAGGCAATGAAGGTTGTTGGGTACAAGTAGAGCAGTGCTCATCACGTTCTATAAAAGAAATGAAGGAAAACTAATAGCATTGATTGTTTATGTTGATGATATGGTTGTTATGGGAGATGATTCGAATGAGATTCGAAAGTTGAAAGACTTCTTAGCCTCGAAGTTTGAAATCAAAGATCTGGGACCTCTGAAACATTTCTTGGGAATAGAGGTGGCTAGATATAGAGAGGGAATATAAATCTGCCAAAGGAAGTATGCATTGGACCTTCTAAAAGAGATAGGGAAGCTAGGAGCCAAACCAACAGATACTCCTATAGAGCAAAATCATGGGTTRCAAGAAGTTGATGGAGAATTGTGTCTAGACAAAGAGAGATATCAGAGATTAGTTGGAAAATTGATTTACTTATCCCTCACAAGACCTGATATTGCATATGCAGTTCATGTGGTCAGACAATTTATGCATGCTCCACGAGTTACACATATGAGGGCAGTAGAAAGGATCTTGAGATACTTGAAGACATGTCCTGGGAAGGGATTAYTATTTAAGAAATGTGACAAAATAGAGGTGGAAGCCTACATTGGTGCCGATTGGGCAGGTTCTCGTGGAGATAGAAGGTCTACATCTAGATATTATACCTTCATAGGTGGCAATCTAGTCACTTGGAGGAGCAAGAAACAAATTGTTGTTGCAAGATCAAGCGTCAAGGCTGAATATAGGGTTTATGGCCCATGATGTTGCTGAACTGCTTTGGTTTCAGATTCTTCTAAAGGAGTTGGGGGTAGAAGTAACTGGACCTCTAAAGCTGTATTATGATAATCAGGTTGCAATCGACATTGCTAACAACCCAATCCAGCATGATAGAACAAAGCACATTGAGATTGATAGAAACTTTGTGCGAGAAAGAATTATTTTTGGGGATCTCTGCATCCCTTATATTCCGTCTACAAACAACTTGTTGATGTTCTTACCAAGGGGCTCACCAAGACAAGATTTATGGAACTGTCATGCCCAAAACTGTTATGCAAGCTGGGCATGAAAGATATCTATGCTCAGCTTGAGGAGTGTTGTGAGACCTAGATTGTAGTCCTGTCCTTAGTAGTTGACTACTATCAACATACTGTTCTTAGTAGACAACTACTATCAGCATATTGTTCCTAGTAGTTGACTACTTGATGAAGAGATTTCCTAATAGTCGACTACTAGGACTTTGTTGTAATTTTTTATTTTGTGTTTGATCACCCTAGTATATAATAGAATGGCTGGCGCCACCAGCATTACTTTTTTGCCTCTTTCACATGTTTTCTTCTCTTCTTTCTTCTTCTTCTTAGAAAACAGTAACAAGTAAGCTTGAAATCAATGGTAGGTAGTTGGGGATAACTTAATATTTAAAGGGGTGATTAGTAACAAAAAATTGGGAATGAAATGTAGCATTTGCAGACTGATAGACCAACATGAGAGAAACCTAGAAAACACATTGTGATGAGCAACAACTATCTTTGGATGTTAACTGGCTGGGCTAGCCTAGTTGAGTCTACTGCCCAGATAGGTGCATAGACTAGGCCCATGTTTATTTTATTATGGGGCTTTTTGTATCCTGCCATGATCTTTGTGATCATAAGCTTATGCTCAAAGACAGTTACTATTTTAGGCCATTACATGGAAATGCTATACACTTGTCATCACTTATAAATATTGTGCATTGTGGTGCCTCAACTAGTTGAAACCCTATATTGTGATTATCGTTTTCTGCTTTTCTTGTTTTATGCATTGCAGGTAAAATCATCTAAAATACATGAACATATGGTGGTATCCCATCTAGAAGTTGTTCTCTGTGTTGAGATTTATCATAACATAAGAACGTGGGTGAAGGTAATCTCGCTGCTTTGCTATTGCCTCTTGAAAGCCATAATAGTTTTTATTGATTTTTGTCTACTGATTAACTTTGTTCTTGTTAGAGCCCCCATTTTGTTTATGTGTGTCTTGGACTTTAATAACTGAGTTAGTTGGTGAAAAATGGATAATTTTGATTTGAGCAATTATAGGATTCCACTATTAACTTTTTCTTCTTGAAGTTGGCATTGTCTTGTATATGTAGATGTAATCACTAACAAATAAAGCTTTAGAACAACTTTGTAGTCAATGCTTAGTTTTCCTAGGTGACAGCAGTGAGTATTGGCATACCTTTTGGAGATGCAGTCTGTTTCTACTATTGCTACAGTAGTCCGAACCAGTAAGGAGAAGAAGAAGAAGAAGAGGAGAAGAAGAAGAAGATGAAAGAACTGTCGAACCT